GACCAAACCGATCCGCAATCGATCTGATTGGTTGAATTTCATTGAGAAGGTTTTGATTGGCTAATAATTTTGAGCTCATCTGAGGTAGCCAATCAAATCGATTTAAATTCCAACGAGAAACCACGCCACAACACGAAATTTCACTCGAAAATACAATATATATATATGTAATACTAACTTTACCAGTACCTGAAGGACGCGCGCGGCGGCTTCTGCGCGGCTTTCCCGCCGCCGGACAAGAAATCGACGTGCGGTAGCTTGGATTAACTCCACTTTTCGCATCAACTTGAGACGTTTGTGGGCATTCCACCGTTGGCGCATTCGAAACTGTAGCTGCTTGAGGGCTCCCAGCATGCGCTGATACCGAGTCGTCATGACATGTCTGCGGAAGCTGGCTTGGATCACAGTGGCTGCCCACGTTTGACTACGATAGCGAATGCACAGCGCCTTTTGTTTCCACTGGCGCTGGATGACGCTGGCATGTGTGGCCAAGAGGTTCCTCTTGGATTGAGCTTTGATTCGTCGCCATCGTTGCTACAGTGTCACAGTTAGTAGTCAGGTATTACAGTGAAATCTTTGGATACAAGTCGACCGTTCGCGTTGCTCGTTCTCGCACAAGTTGCAGACGAACAAAGTATACCTGGATGCGTGCCACGTGGCAGTTCAGACGGGCCATCGTTTGAGCTCGGATGGTGTTGATCGCTTGAATGGCAACGTGTTTAAAGAACACAAACCGCGAGCCCAATTGCACGCATAGCGACTTCTACTCGACACATGGTTGGTCACTAAAGCCAGGGAATTATATATATGTAGATGTTGTACATTCACATGGAGAAGATTCGGGTGGACCCAAAGGCGATTCAGAAACAGGTCGCACCGCCGACGTGCAGTCAGCGGACGTTCCTAAGCGACGAGATCCGACGGTTGCTAGCAAGTTACGACGACGGCGACGACGAGGGGAAGGAGGACGTGACGCACCATAGCCATCAATCGAGGGTGGGTAAACGCTTCGACACACAAATACTGGTCGAGGAACTCTGCATATGTCGCGCGGTAGCTGTACCCGTCCGTCCGCAGCAGCAGAGTGTGCAATATATCTACAATAGATGACAATTATCAATAGATAGTTAATAGAAATACAAGTTAGACAAGCTAGACTTAGCCCCAATTATCATATATGATCAACATCTTCCTACCATGACGCTGGAGCTGCTGTTGGACGACGTTATAATCAAACACATGTCGTGCCTTGGTCGTGTTGGTCTAAAGCAACATATTGTTATCTTGGATAGTTAATACTTCGAAGTAATAGACATTATATATATATATATATATATATATATATATATATTCACATTCATTGGAGGTATGATTCATAGTATATATTTATTCATAGTACTACCTTGATGCACTGAACAAAATGGGGTTCCGATTTACACAGCGACAGCAAGAGCCGCTCGACGTCTGCACATGCACGTGAGGACCGAGTCGTTGGGGGCTACATATAGAGCCCAAATATTAGACTGGACGCTTCAGCCATACGAGAATGGAAGGTGTACCTGCAGTTGCTGCTGGCTTTGAGAGAAGTCCTTGGAGGTTACATCGCCCTAGAACATAGGTGGTAGGGGTGTTAAAAGTCGACCAGAAATTGCTGTAGAAACGACTGTGGAAATACAGCGTACTGGACAAACAATCGCGACGATAATTGGATCAATCGACAGCTTGAACGCTCGGGTCCATTCGCAAGGCAGTGACGTGGCAGCATGGTACGCTTGGTAAAAGTCCGCCGCAGAATACTCGACATCCGCTGAAGTGTGTTGAATCACAAACGAATATGGCAATTCGGACGACGGTTTGAAGTACGGCGACTGGGTGTGGTGGAATCGGGCCGTGAGTTTCTAAAAAATAGGGGTTATTCCCTTGAATATTTTTCCTCATATTTCCATATCGTTTCACAGGAATAGTGTACCTCAACCAGCTCGGTTTTGGTGTCCGAGGCCGTATCACAAGACATTTCGCCCAACACTTGCAAAATGCTGCTAGCCTTGGCATCCAGCAAATCCACAAGTCGCTACCATCATTTAGTGTTATGTGGCTGGCGTCCATATGATCATCACGGAATAACCATTGCAGGTTTTTACTTGGTTGTCGTAGAAGGGCACACGGCGCACACCAGTCAAGGCTTCGGTAGCGTAAATGCGATATTCAAGCTTGAATATGTACTATTGGATCATTGGAATCATCACGCATCCACGGATAGTAGGATATGTTAGGACCACAATTGCTCGAATCAAACTTGTACACCTACCTGCGTGAAAAATTGGGTCAATTTTTCGTCGGCGTAGTTGATGCAAAACGAATCAAATGAATGGGTGGAGCTGAGAGCCTCAAACCCGGGCATGTCGACAATGTCAATCGACTTGACCGTCAACTGGTTGTCGATTTCGAGGACGGTGTTGATGGACTTTAATACGTAGCCAACCACTCGAATGTACAGCACACGACACACTTCGAGCAAGGAAGCGCCACTCTTGGGTTTAAAGTTGTCGCAAAGGGTCCCAACAGGGACCCCCACCCATTCCTCGGCTTGATTGAGTCTATTTTTTGGCAAAACATGAGCCATTTAACACGAATACAAAAATAATATCATCGAACTTACTCTAGCCGTGTGTCGTCGATTCCTTCACCGACGGCGCGCTCGTTGTCGTTGGTGGATAGTCGTGTTAAGAGGACGATAGCTTCCAATAGCTTAAACACTGACGAAATCACACTCGGCGATAAGTGCAAGGTGGCCATGGCAGTCTGATAGTATGGAGTGAATTGTTATAAATTTGAAGTATTTTACATCAATTAGATCCATACCTTGAGCTGGCCCAGCGTATCGTTGTTGTTCGAGTGCTGCTCTACGAATTGTTCGTCTTGCTTGCGATGTGTTTGGTGCAGGAGATGCAAAACGTGGAAAGCGGTGGTGTTGCCGGACTTGGTGAGTGTCTACAAGGAAATGGCAAGTGTCATTGGCGGGAAGGGTATAGTTTACTACTTCTACTATTACTACAGTACTACCACTACATACGTGAAACCCAGTAATGCGGCTCGACTCGACTTGAAAGCATTGAATAGTCGCAGCAACCAATGCGTTTTGGCTGTCCAACCCAACCTTGACCACCCTTCCAAACCGCGACGACTCGGTGTTTGCATCCGTCTACAACACAGTCAGACTGATGGTCAGGTTTTGGTGTCCTGAAGGATGTAAGTTCGCGTACAGCAGCATTGCTAAATGCGTCCAGTATCGTCATGGCAGCCAACAATTTCGACCCCAACGACAGCGGGGATGTAATGCCCTCAGTCATCGCGACACTAGTAACATTGACGTGGTTCTTGGTTGGGGATGATGGCTCCACCAAATGCTAAAGAGAAATGAGTACAAGTAGTAGAGGTAGCTGGTATCGAAGGGGCGTACGTGAAGGATAGCATTGGCGATATACGACTTGCCTGACCCGCTGTCCCCCAAGAGCAGGACGCTGTGGTGGTAGGTACCTCCCCCAGCAACGGCAGGAGTCATTTTCCTCAACGCCCCCTTCAACATTGCCCGGAGGGGCTCGTAGTTTTGAGTAGTAACGTCACATTGCCCTTTGCTCATTCCCCAAGGGTTCAACGCCAGCAAGATATTGTCGACATGCGTAAACATGTTTTTGGCCATAAAGCGAGTATACAACGCGTGCAAAATGCACGGGTTGTTGATATGTGTCAAGTTGACGAGATTGTCGACCCCATTATCTGGTTCGTCTTCTTCCCTGGGCCACACTCGATCTCGAGACAGCTCGAGGTTCATGGTCGCGCCATTTACGGTCGTTTGGACATACACAACGTTGTGGGGTGGTGCACTGTCGACGCCACTTTGTGGGGGCACCAGATGAGCTTTCACATACCGCGGCAACGCGCTGCCGATGACGAAATCGGGGTTTTCGATCCACACTGGCTCTGCACCAAGGTGCACCGGGTAGCTCAGTCGTAGAGATGACGATGAACGATAAAGGGCCATGCTAATTGGATGGCCCAATCCTCAATGGAGCGAGTTCCTATGAATGCTGAAACCGCCCAGTTCTGCTGGCGCCAGTTACAGCGGTTACGACGAGGAAAACAGGACATTTCGAAGGGTGTAACCAACACGCACTAGGGGGGTGCGCCAAGAATTGCCAGCAAATCCACATGAGGCGAGTAGTAAGCGACAAATAGTCTAAAAGATACTAGTACAAAGGAAGTCGCAGCAATGTACAGCGGTAATAATAGTCTTTACTGTTAATATATCTGATTTTTTTAGTTGGTGGTGAAGTGATTCGTGTACCGCAAAATTGGCGCTGCCGTGCCAACACTGGCCGAGAAGATGGGCATGGAATGAAAACTACAGTTAAGGACCGACAGTGTCCGAGGCTTGTGCAACGACAAAGGATTGTGCACTAACGGGGATTTCCTATCGATTCTCCTCGTCCGAAACGCGAAAAGTTACGTGGCCAGTTCAACGGTTGCTAGGAACGCGACAGTGCCTATCGACAGCAAGCTTCTCCATTTGAGAGCTAAATTCGCCACTTCAGATGTCAACTCGTCGACCTTTTTCGCCAGAGTTATGAATATTCTGATGCTATAAATGATAATATTTTTTTGATAGTTGTACTACGTAGTATATGGTTTTAGAAGAAGATTTAGATAAAGGTCAATTTCGTTTATTAGATGTTGATAATTTAGAAAATTATTTAAGGACCTTAGCGTTCAATCTGGGCTATTTCCCTCTCGACAATGGACCTTGCTGTTAGCGCCAATGTCTGTCTATTTAAATACTAATTTTTGTATTCTTTAAAAACAGTAGAATTTTTTAGTTCTTTTGCTACTATTATTTCTATTTTACAAAATTATACTTTTATATTTTGTATCCGCGACGCTGTGTACAAACACCAAGGAATAGTACTTTGCCGTTGCACAGGCCTCGGCCACTATCGGTCCTTGCTTGTAGTTTCCATTCCATGCCCATTATGTTCGGCCAGTGCTCACATGGCATGGGGTTACATGAATCGCTTGACCAAGGTGCTAGACGGACATCGCGCGCCGCGAATTATTGTACTTGAAGTGTAGTAGTATTTAGATCAGTTGCCTACTCGTGTACCTAATGTCTAGATGCCAACGTTCGTGGCTGTCGCCCCAGGTGCACCAGTGATTACTAGTGGTTTGAGCCATTTCGCCCTTGGGTACTAGTACAACAGTACGTGCTAACGAAGTGGATATAGGGTTCCCCGTGGTACATGCCCCATTACAGTAAATTGACCCCAAGTATTCCCGGGCTTCAAGAGATCCAGCGCAACATACTTGACACAAACACATTATCACTACGATTGAAAGCAATTGAAGCCACGGCAAAACATAGTGGTCATTCTTAGCCTCTACAACGTCCGCTCCAAGTCCAACCATTCGTGTATATGATAGGCTCGCATTACTTGTAGTGCCGCCGACCTCGATGCCGTGACCTACAGTGTAGCAACAACGAATGCCGACTTGTCGAAAGCTATCATTGAACGACAGTGCAAAATTGCAACGAGTCTGAATCATCATTACGTTGTCATAAAATATAAATCGTGATGTTGGTACGAAGACTACTACTACATACTGTACTGTATTGTACTACAAACAACGCATCAACAAGTACATATAGGTAAAACCTCGTCAAAGATGAGTTGCGAAACCTCTCTAATATTACACGCGGAGGTCGGCTTGGACTTCAAATGTTTCGTCGATCTGGTCGGCCAAGATGCACTTGACCATGGCATTGCCATTCACGTTGAGCATCGTGGAGATGCGATCGAGGAGGAAATCTGCCGTGACAATCAGCGAAAACGCGGGGGGGAGGTCGGCGGACGGAAAGCATGTCTTCCACAGCGTCATGATGTATACGAGGGCGGCGTTGGGCACGGGGGCGGTGCCCATGCACCCGAGCAGACTCACAAAGAAGATGATCACGTATCGCGTGGGGGTGAGTTGGTCCCCCAAGCCCGACATGGTTGCCATAAATACCACCGCCAACGGGTAGTAAATACCCGACGCGTTCAAGTTCACGGGGGTGCCAAACGGCATGGCGATATGCGACAGCGTCCGGCTGACCTTGGCGCGTTGGATGCACTCTATGGCCACAGGAAGGGTCGCCATGGACGACGAACACCCAAACGCAAACACGAAGGCGGGAATGAGCTGCTGGAGGTACTTGTACGGGTTGGCTTTGGTGTAAACGTACATGAGAAGGGGGAGTACGACGAGGGCATGGGAGATGGCGCCGATCACAAACGAGAGCAAGAGGTATGCCAGTTGGGACATGACTTCGCTCAGGTCTTGCGTGTCAAACTTGGCGATGCCCCCTGCCATGAGGAACACGACCGCCACAGGGGTGATGGTGAGCAATCCATTGAGCAGCAGAATGAAAATGTTGCGCAGTTGCCGGACAATGCCCAGCACCAAGTTGTCGTTGGCTGGAGCCGAGTGGGCAAGCGCGACCCCCAGGGGGATCGAAAACATCACAATGCTCAAAAGCGAACCATCCACGAAGGATTCAAAGATATTGACTGGGATGAGTAAGTTGCAAATGCCCACGATTTGGTCCACGAGGCTGAGCTGCGTCCCCAACGACGACGACGACGAAACGTTGGACGTGGTCATGGTGTGGTTGGCAGCAAGAAACAGCAGTGCCGACGCATTCGCAGCAGATTCGACACACCCCAACGAACCATCGGCCAGCGCCGCCAGCAACTTCCCGTTTGTGCATTGCAACGTTACGTTGAATGAAGCCCCGGTAGTGGTCCCCCCATCCCCCGACGTGCCCGTGATTCGGGTTGCTTGGGGGACAAAGTACTCTTTGAACAGCAGCGCCAGCAGCGTACCCTGCACGGTCGAGAGCACGGACGACGCCACGTACGGCAACAACGTCCTGCACCGCATGATGGACGACCGCCCCAGCGTCACCGTCTCCGTCACGACGATCGTCATGACGCAAAACACCAACGGCACGATGAGGCATCGCAGCGCCCGCACAAACAAGTCGCCTGGAAGCGCTAGCGTTTTCTGCATCTCGACGCCAATGTGCAAGTAGTACAGGCCAAACCCGAGCCCAATGCCCACGAACGCCCCCACGACCACGTAAAACGATTGAAACATGGGGGCCGTGAACCCATTCAGCTTGGGTTTCGTCGACCCGGGCGTCGTGTCGGGGTTGTTTTCGAGCACCGGCGTCTCAAAGCACGAGTCGTACGCGTTGGACGACAACACGTTGGCCGATTCGGGAGGTTGCGACGACGTAAAATTGGTGCGGACGTTGCCGGCGCTCTTGTTGCTCAAGCTCGGCTTGGATGACGACGGATTCGACTTGTATGAAAACCGACGGGGCCGCGGACTTTCTTCAAAGAGAAATATGCCTTTCTTGGACGGTGGGTCCGGGTGGGTTGTGTTAGGCTCCATGTACTGTGTGGAGGAGGAGTTAGAAACGATGAATGGCCTGTGTTGAATGCAGTGTTGCCTAATGTAAGCAAGCTCATATGTACAGGGTGTACATATGACTTGATGCGGGACATGTGGCACAGCATATGGCAGAAGCCAACCCAAGTGAACACCATGTGGAAACAGGGGGAAGGACGATTAATATGACTGTAACCCCCACCAAATGTTGAGGATTTGTAGGGAAGTGGAGGGCGATTTCACGGCGGCTGTCGTGTGCGACAAGAAGGTGACAACCCAAATGTGAGCTCTAGAGTGGTATTGCTTGTGCTAACTTGTTCTTGCGACTTTCTTGAGCCTGGAAATCTTGATGACTTGTTGCTTTAAGCTTATTGGACATCAAATGCTGACTCCACAATAATAGTTGAGAGATACGTTCGGATTATACGATTTCTGGGCGGACGGAGGGCGTTAATTCCCTCATTTGACCAGTCCCACTGTGTTTCTCAGAAAACACTGCAAATTGTATGTTTATATGGGAATTAGTATACTCTGACCACCACACCTGGTACGAGGGGTTAAGTGCATCTGAGGCAGCTGTGAGTGGTTAACAATAGCTAGCCACTGGCGATGCAGTTAACCCCGGGGATATTTGGCATCGTTTGTATTCATCGGGGGCAGGACGGAGTCCTGGGTTACAGGGCTACGATCGAAAAAGTAATCCTCCGGATTGGATAATTCCCTCATTGAAAAAACAGCATTTCGGTTTTACTGTTAATGAGGGATTTATTCTAACAAGCGATTTACCCTCATCCATCAAAACTGACGTCACATTTTCAATATGAAGTTGCACAAATGAACATGCAGTTGTGGCAGGAATGAGGACTAATTCCCTGAGAGCAACCGTGATATGTACTGTTGCTTTCGTAATCATTTCCAGTACTATTAGTCGGAACCCCTTGCGTTTGCATACATTCCTGGGGTTAACAGTTGCATATTAGTGGTAACGTTAACATTAGCGATATCTGACCTACTAGCAATCACGAAACGTTTTTGTTTCGTAAATCACTTGTATCTAATTCCTGCTATCTTGAAATTTGTATGCGATTGCTTGTATCTTAGATATATGGTGATTTACGAAACAATCACGAAACATGCATACTATTAGTAGTACTACGTAATTTACTGTGGACAGATATCACAGCACAGACGCTGCTACACGTACCTCCTCCACCAGCATAGAGTGGTGGTACAACCAGCATAACAGCGGCGGTACGTTGGTTTTCGTTCATGGAAATGCTCGACTAGCACTTCAAGATGGGCCAAGTGGTCCCGA